TGGGAATTGGTCGGTGGGACATATTGGGAGTACAGGGACAAAAACGGCATTGGGGGGGCGTTGTGGGGGGACAGGAGAAATCCACAGGGGAGTCCGGGTCCCTGCGTGGTGGCGAGAGACAGGTCCTCAGCCTCCCGCCCTGCTCTCTCCCCGCCCCTGCAGTACAGAGAACTAGGCAACTACAGCGACAGCACTGAGAGTCCCACAGTGGAAAATCACCTCTGCTCCACCATCGAGGGGCCCCTCCTGACCTCCTTCAAGGCTGTGTTCATGCCAGTGGCCTATGGCTTTATCTTCCTCCTGGGTATGATGGGCAACATCCTGGTGTTGGTGATTCTGGAGCGGCACCGGCACACACGCAGCTCCACTGAGACCTTCCTGTTCCACCTGGCGGTGGCCGACCTCCTGCTGGTCTTCATCCTGCCTTTTGCCGTGGTAGAGGGCTCTGTGGGCTGGCGCCTGGGCACTGTCCTCTGCAAGACTGTGATCGCCCTGCACAAGATCAACTTCTACTGCAGCAGCCTGCTCCTGGCCTGCATCGCCGTGGACCGCTACCTAGCCATCGTCCACGCGGTCCACGCCTACCGCCACCGCCGCCTCCTCTCCATCCACATCACCTGTGCCACCATCTGGGGGGCGGGCTGCTTCTTCGCCTTGCCGGAGATCCTCTTCGCCAAAGTCAGCCAACCCCACCACAACAACTCCCTGCCCCGCTGCACCTTCTCCCAGGAGAACCGGGCTGAAACCAACGCCTGGTTCACCTCCCGCTTCCTCTACCACGTCGGAGGGTTCCTGCTGCCCATGCTGGTGATGGGCTGGTGCTACGTCGGGGTGGTGCACAGGCTGTGCCAGGCCCAGCGGCGCCCTCAGAGGCAGAAGGCAGTCAGGGTGGCCATCCTGGTGACGAGCGTCTTCTTTCTCTGCTGGTCACCCTACCACATTGTCATCTTCCTGGACACCCTGGCGAGGCTGAAGACCGTGGGCTACAGCTGTGAGCTCAACGGCTACCTCTCGGTGGCCATCACCATGAGCGAGTTCCTGGGCCTGGCCCACTGCTGTCTCAATCCCATGCTCTACACTTTCGCGGGCGTGAAGTTCCGCAGCGACCTGTCGCGCCTTCTGACCAAGCTGGGCTGTGCCGGCCCCGCGTCCCTTTGCCAGTTACTCCCCACGTGGCGCAAGAGCAGCCTCTCGGAGTCCGAGAATGCCACCTCCCTCACCACCTTCTAGGTCCTGGCCCCCCTCGGTCCTGCCTTCCGTGGGGATGCAGTGTTGCCGGAACCCCTTCCAGCAGGAGCTGGGACCCTAGGAGATGGGACCCCAGGTGTCCTCATCCGGGGCAGCTAGAGCCACGCCCTCCTTCCGGGACGTCCCTGCCCGCGCTTCCGCCCGCGGCCCCGAGGCGGTTCAGGGAGCGGAAGCAGCCGCGAGGCAAAGCGGAGGAACCCTGTGCCCGTCGGTCTCCCCTTCTTTCATCTTAACTATTGGAAGCTCAAGAAACAACTTTTGCTCCCGCCCTGCCAATTGGGAAGGTCAGTCGCCTCCCAGAACGCACTCCGCCATCGCCATCGTAGGGACCACGGGTCTCCACAACGACCCGCCTCTCCTCTCAGCCCTCCGGCCGAAAGAAGCTCGAAGCAGAGCAGGGGAGAGATGGAGAGATGGAGAGATGGAGGGCGAGGCTGAGGGAAGGCCCGCTGGCAAAAGGATGTGGCCTTACCATCTCGGGCCCTAACTGACACAGACACCCTGCCCGGCCACCAGCCCTGCATCTGGACCGAGCAGGAAACGCCGACTGACCCAATCCAGGAAGCTGCTCCCGGCTCTGACCCAAGTGGCACCGGGCCAGCCCCATGTCACCGGGCCGGGGAGGACTGCAGACTCAGGGCAGACTCCAGGCACCCTCAGACATCAGCCGGCATCCTAGGGAAGAACTGAGGCCAAGTCAGCAGAGAAAAGCCATTGGAAGAAAAGATTCTCCTTCCTCAGCCTCAAGGAGGGGCAAGTAGAGACCAAAGCCAGCTGTCTTCTCTGCCCAGGGTGGAGAGGTCCCAGTATGGGCCAGGGGCAGTCAGGTCTGGAGCCCTGGTAGGTATGGCCACTGAGAAGGAAGGAGGCAGACTGCTCCTTCCTGCCCTGGCTCTCCACAGGCCAACCAGGAGAAACTGGGGCAGCAGAGGGGTCCCAATCACACAGAGGGAGCACTTCACAGAGGGTCAGAACAGAGATGTAGACCCCCCGGAGAAGAATGACAGACTGAAAAGGGCCTCTGGGGGTCATCTCATCCAGCCCCCTACCTGCGGGCCAGACCCAGAGTTTGCCATCTCTCTGGGCCTCGCAAGAGCCACAAGGCATCCCCTCGGGCCAGGCAGGGTGAGAAGCAGGGAAGTCCCCAAGCCCCAGGAAGCCAAGCCCTGCCCCTGAGAGGATACTACTCAGATGGAACCAGAGGAAACTGCTCCGTGCCTGCCTGCCCGCGTTCTCCGGGGAGGGCTCTCCCACCCTCCTCCGCAGCCCCTGCTCTGGCTAGGGTGGGATGTCGGGGACCCCTGCCCTTGCTGAGGGCACATCTGGGGGAGGGCAGCCAACCAAGCCCCCTTGGGGGACCCCATGTTGGAAATCAGAGCTGTGACCCAGGGGAGGAGGGAGAGACTGTCTCTTCACCGTGGAACACTGGGAAAGCCCCAGGGCCCCCCTTTTTCCTCCCAGCATCCAACAGTAAGCTGGGTGTCGGAGTAGCCAGACACGGAAGCAAAAAAGGCAAGAGGTTGCATTTTTAATTTTCTCTTTTTAATAAAAAGGCACCTATAAAACAGGTCAATACAGTACAGGCAGCACAGAGACCCCCGGAACAAGCCTAAAAATTGTTTCAAAATAAAAACCAAGAAGATGTCTTCACATATTGTATTTATATATTTATATTTATATATATATATTTATATAATGGTACAAAATGGCTGGGGGTATGGCCATGGATGGAGGGACATAGGCTGGCCTGTGGAGTTCACCTTGGAAAGCTAGTCTGGTGGCGGAGATGGGGCAAGAGGAGAATGGGGAGGACACTGGGCCCTTTGCGGTCTGACCCCTCTCCTCTGGGCAGGAAACACTTAAGAGTCAGTTTGGGGAGTCTTGGGTAGGCGGGGCGGGGGGGGGGCGGCTGGCAGGCCCAGGGCCCAGGTTGAGGCAGGGTGGGCAAAGCGCCTGGCAGGTTGGAAGGCAGGTGGCCCCCAAACACAGGTGCCAGGGCCCTGGCCCCGGGGCCCCAGGGAGGTGCTGGGGGAGGCAGGAGACTGCAGCCAGCCGGCCCCAGAGGAAGCGCTTGACCTGGCTGACGGTGGACTGAGGACAGCACCAGACTGGGAAAAGTGGGGCAAATTCCCTTTGTATCACAGCTGCCAATGCAAGGCCAGACCCTGCAGATCAGGAAGGCTAGGGATGGGGCCATGGCAGAAGACACCTTGTCTAGAAATGGCCCTTGGCCCTGGAGGCAGGGCATGGAGGCCAGGGAACTGCCCTGCCACCTCACAAGGCAGGAAAGGAAGTGAGAAAAGGAGAAGTGTTTTACTCCTGGGGCCAAGGGGGCAAAACACAGTCTGTATGGCTTCAGCTCTGACCAGAGGCAGGTGGGGAGTTTTGGGAAAGAGCAGGGGAGCAAGGGGGAGGCAGTGGCTGTGCCTGGGCCTGGGCACAGAGCCCGGAGCCCCAGGCAGAGGGACCTTGCCGGTGAGTGGGCAGGTAGGACACCCCCTGCTTCTCCACCACTTTCTCTAATCCATCCTCAAAGGGTGGAGGCTGGAGGGACACAGATTTACTCAGCCAACCCCTTTTCTTTCCACCTTTGGTGAGAAGTGGGTGGCAGCTCCCGGAAAAGTCAGGGCCTGGGGGTTCCCCGGGCTGGGGGCAGCTGCAGGAGGCACAAAGCCATCTGGGCCGCCTTGCTGTGCCTCCCTGGCTCTGCGCAAGGGGCCACACAGCCTCCACCTCTTCCTCCTTTCCCTCATCCCACACTGGGGACGAAGGACTTCAAGTTCTGACTAAGGTGTAGCAGCAGGGGACGCCAGACATCCATAGCTAGGAAGCCAGGGCCCCGGGTCTCCTGTGTCGGGGGAACATGCCAGCCTGAGCGCACGTTCTCCTGAATTCATTCAGCAGCAGATAGGCTGCCACTCTGGGGGTGGGAAGTGGAGGGCGGATCTCAGCCCAGAAGGGGCTCTCCAGGTGGAAGCCCAGGTGGTCTGACCTCAGCTTAGGTGTGGGGTATCTGTCATTTCACCATTTGAGGAAGGGACCGGAATGGTATCCTTATGGACCCAGAGACCCGCAAACAGTGGGAGAGTGTGTTGGACTGCGTGGTCCCGAGTCCAGGGGAATGGAAAGGGGCAACAATTTGAAGAAGGAGGGGAGGGAAGCGTTGCTTTTAACCTTTTCTCTTTTTTGTGACTTCTATCAAAACACAGAAATACAGCACACACACAAACCAGCACAAAAGCGCAGCGCTCTATTTACAGCTGCGACTGGCACTGCCCACCGGGCCAGCCGCCTGCAGGGAGGGGTGGGAGAGGGGCTCAGCCACAGCAGCAGGGAGAGGAAACGAGGCAGGAAGAGACAGAAGGAAAAACCGGTGGGAGCAGAGAAACCGAGAGAAGAATGAAGCTCCAGGAGCACGCAGAGCCTAGGAAACAAGCCGCAGAAAGGAGACAGAGTGGGGGAGACCTCTCCTCTACTCTGGCTTCCCCCACCCAGGATTCTCTGCTCCCCCCCAGGATTCCATAATAGGACTCTGAAAGCACAGCTAAAGAAGGGGAGGGGTGCAGAGAATGAGGGAAGAGAGAGGCTCCATCGACTGGGGAAGGGTGGGGAAGGGGCAGTCCTGGTGGCCGAAATGGAACCCCAACCCAAAACCCCCCACCCCGCTCTGCCACCTCCCCCCAAGCTGCCGGCACATCTGGTTTCCACAAATGCCACTCCCCACACAAGCCCCTCCCACCCCATCCACCCCACCCCTTCACCCAGGCCATCCCAACACTGGAGGGGAAGGAACTTCTTTAAGGGTATCATATTTGCGGGACCGCCCCAGCTCCAGCCAGCCCCCACCCCCCAGGGGACTGCTAGAAGGGCAGGTTGGCCATGCTGCCCGGCGCTGGGAGGTAGCCCATCTGACTGTCCAGAGACACACTGCGCTGCCGCAGCGGGTGTGACACCATGAGGTTCTGCTGGGGCGGGGGGCCCATGAGGGAGCCCTGCGGGGAGAGCATGTGGGGGGGCTGGCTGTAGACCTCCCCCCCCACCCCCCGCTGCTTCATCAGCATGAAATTCTGCTGGGTCATGAGGCCTTGTGGAGGGGACATGACTCCCTGGTGCAGGCCGTGGGGCACCACGCCCTGCTGGGGGGGCACACCTGTCCTGCCCAGCAAGGACATCTGTCCAGGGTGGCACATGGACATGTTGAGACCCCGCTGGACGCCTTGCTGGCCCGGGAGGTTGGGGGGCCGTGAGGGGGTCTGCTCCGCCATCATGTTCTGCAGGTTCATGAGATGCAGATTGGGGGGCTGGGCCTTGGGGGGCTGGTTCTCACTCTTGGGAAAGTATTGGAGGGTGCTGCTTGGCTTCTCAGAGGGGATGATCCTTGATAAGTCGAACTCAGGGATCCCCGTCGGGGTGGGCCGGATCACCTCGCTCAGCTCGGGGTCGCTCAGCACTGATGCCACCCCAGGGAGCACGCCTGGGGGGTAGGCGTCGCCCATGCGCCCAGCCATGCCTTTGCCCATCAGGTGCTGCTGAGGGGGTATGGGGCCGGGCGGCTGGCTAGGCAGGTCCTCTGGGGGCAGGGGCATGCTGGAAGGGTAGTGCTGCTGCAGGCCGGGCCCCCCGCCCCCACCCCCACTGGGGGCCATGGCACCATGGGGCTGCTGCAGCCGAGGGGGGAAGGGCATCATCTGGGAGGAGCTGGGCACTGGGCCACAGGGAGCACTCAGGGAGTCTGGGCCTCCTGGAGGCAGCATCATCGAGTTTTGAGGGGGCCCTCCTGTCCCCTGCGCATTGGGGTGCAGTGGAATGTTGGACCCCAGAGGGGTGGGGGAGGGCAACATAGTAGGCGGGGGTTCGTGGGACAGGGGCTGCTGGCCTGGCAGGTTCATGCCCATGGGGCTCTGGGCCGCAGCTGAGTTCAGGTGCATCTGGTTGGGCTGGTTATTGCTGATCCCTGTGGGGAGAGAGAAAAAGGGGTCAGGAGCTGTGTGTGCCATGCTGGGGAAGGCTGCGGAACTCAGTTCTTCCCCCCTCCCCAGCCAGGCTCATGCCAGCAGGGGTGAGGGCCTCTACCATGGGCCTGTGCTGGCCACAGGGACACAGACTTCAAGCACTCAGGTTAGAAGCCAAGAGACCCGAGTTCTGGCTCAGTCTGCCACAGACACGTCACTCACTGGATGTCAGAAACGACACTCCGCTGCCCTGGGCTTGGTTTTACTCCATGACAAGCGGAAACCTGACCCAGGACATCACCCTCCCACTCCCAGGGCCCGCTGGGAGCATAGGAGAGCCAGCATAACCACCGGGGCAACAGCTGGCCGTGGCAGCTCTTCCCACGCCCGGGGCCCACCCCCAGGTCCTCTTCTCCCTGCACCCCCTTCTGGCCTCGCACCTGGCCCAGAGCCCTGCGGAGGTGGCGGAGGTGGGAGCAGGGGCCGATCAGGCAGCAGCTCGTCGTCGGAGGTGGCGATGGTCTTGATGGCGTTGTGGTAGAGCGGGGTGGAGCTGGGCATGGCGTACTTGGACATCTGGGACATCATCAGTGACAGGGGGTTCTGGGAAGGCGTGGGGTCTGGGGAGGAAGTAAATGGCAGGCTGGGGTTCATGAGGCCGCTGGGAGGGTTGGCGGGAGGCGCTGAGGAGCTGCTCCGGGGGCCACTAGGTGGGAGGGCACCTACAGAAGCATGGAGACAGAAAGAGCGGAGGGTAACCGGGGAGGGGAAGACGAGTTTGGCGGCTCACATACATGGTGGGCTAGGAAGAGGCCAGCTCCCAAATCTCCTGACTCCTCCAGGCACACCTCTACTCCAGTATTCTGCTCAACCCATTAACACCATTGCCCACCTGTCTTCGGGCAGCCTCGGGGCCCCCAGACAGTGCAGAGAGCCCAAGAGCGAGCCCCTCCAAATGCCTGGCAGAGCCCCATGGCACTCCTTGTGGAAACTCACACTCAGCTGCTGACGTGTGTCCCTCAAGCAGTGTCCACCTCTGCGCCCGGCACAGATGCCTTTGCGCGCTCACCTGCCCCAGTAAGAACACACCCCTCCCCTCCCAGGTTCCCAGTGCCAGAGTCCCGTCCCCACTCCCCTACCCCCCACCCCGCGGCCTGGCTCAGCTGACTCACCCTGTTCCATGCTGCCCAGGGTGGTGGAAGAGTTCATGTTGAGAGGCGGCTGCTTGTTCTGGGGAACCCCAGGGCTGGGCATGGCTGTCTTGGGTGAGGCAACCCAGCCGGGAGAAGGCACCGCCACGGAAGGAGACTTGAGCCTGCTGGGCGAGCCAGTGGGCGAACGGACACTGAGGGAGGAGCTGAGGACCTGTGGCGACTTGAGAGGTCCCGGCGGGTTAGCCGAAGGCAAGGGCACCATCTGTGAGGGTGTCTGGGGTGACTTGAGGTTGGCGGAGGGCGAGGTGACCAGGGGTGAGTGCACCTGGCTAAGGGTGGGTGACTTCAGGTGCCCCATCCCCGGGGAGCCCATCTGATTAATACTGATGGTGAGGTCTGAAGGCCGTCTGCCCAGCCCCCGGTTGGGGGCCGAATGCACGGACCCGGGAGGATTGGACGCAGGGGGCAGGGGCATGTGGCTGAGCCGGGTGGTGCCCACGTTACCCATGGGCATTGAGCTCTGGTCAGGACTGAACATGTCTTGGGTATTGCCCATGTCCTGGGGCATGGCTTGGAAGGGCCCCTGGCCCCCAGAGAATCCCTGCTGGCCCTGGTTGGGGAACTGCGAGGGCATGAGCATCTTCTGTGGGCCACCCATCATGCCACCGCTGCTGTTCTGGGCCCGCACCCGGGCCATCTCCTCAGGACTGAGGCCCTGCGGCCCCATCATGTCCCCGGGGCCCCGCATCTTCTGTGACATCAGCATCTGCTGCTGTGGGGTCATCTGGACATTCAAGTTCATGTTCATGTTCATGTTCACATTCATGTTCATGTTGAGGTTGCCAGGCCCCATGGGAGGGTCCACCTCTCTCAGCCCAGACTGCCCCATGGGGGGACTCAGGAGGCCCCGGCCTCCGCCAAACTCCATGCCCATGGGGGTGCCTGCCAGGCCCTCGCCACCGGCCATCTGCCCAGGAAACATGGCCGGCTCCATCTGCCGGTGTGCCTGCATCATCCGCTCCATCTCCATGCCCTGCCCCATGGCCCCGCCCGCCATGCCCAGGGGGCGCTGCATGCCCATCGACCGCTTCTCCAGCAGCTGGTGCCGCAGCAGCTCCTCCCGGACCCGGGGGGTCATGAATCGCTCCGCTTCACCCTGCCCGCCAGGGTAGGGCACGGCATTCTGGGCAAAATTACTTGGCCCCCCCATGGGGGGCAAGTCTTCGGTCCAGCCCATACCTGGCCTCACAGGCCTCTGCATAGCATTCATGGGCACCTCCATGGGCATCCCCTGCATGCCTCCAAAACCAGGCACCCGTTGCATCTGGTTGCCTGGGAAACGGGGGCCAGGAAAGGGAGGTCCGCCTCGGAGCTGCATGGGATCTTGGACATCCATGGGGCCCCGCAGCGGTGCACCCATGCCGGGGGGCCACTGATCCCCGGGCTTGCTGTGGTAGGGAGGCGGTGGCCCCCTCACCATCATGCCCCCCATGGCCATCATGTCTTGCAGGGGGCGGCCCCCATGCAGCCCTATCTGCTCTTCCTTCCGCCGCTTCTCCTCGTAGTACTCTTCCTGGAGCTTGCGCCAGGCCACCTGCTCTGGTGTCAGGCTGTCCTGGCCCAGCCTCTGCATCATCATGTTCATCTGCTGCCCCATGTCCCCACCTGGGGGGTGCCCAGGCACCTCGTGCTCCAGCGCGGGTCCCCCCAGGCTCTGCGTCTGTGAAATCATAGACTGCAAGGGCTCCTCATACTTTTTCAGCCCACTGGGAGGGGCCGTGGGGGGCTGCTGGGGGGCAGGAGGGGCTTGTGCTGGTGGTCCCCCCTCGCCGGCTCCTCCTGGGGGTCCCTTGAGGAAGGGCTCCGTCTCCCCGCTTCGGAGCAACAGCCGCTCAATGTCCCGCAGGGTCTGGAGGGAACGCTCCCGGTGCTCCAGCTGCTCCTTGGACAGGCCCTCAGAGCCCACCAGGCTCCGTTGCCCATTTCCTGTGGGGGCAGCCTCCGGGAGCAGGGCAGGGCCCGGGGCACCACCGGAGTCTCCTCCCGGAGGCAGCGGGTTGCTGGCGGTGGCGGCTGTAGGGGTGTTAGGGTGGGTGCCCCCGGTGCCACCGCCTGTGCTGGCTGCTCCCACCGAGTTGGGTGTCAGGTCCTGACTGGCGTCTTCAGGTGGCCCATCTGAAGGCAGGGTGGGCGGAGCGCTGCTGGGGGCCGATGGGGGCGGCGGCGGCAGCGGAGGGGGCTGGGACTGCGGGGTGCCCGCGGACGGCGTGCTTAAGGGTAGCGGCTCTGGGGTAGGTGGCACTTTTGGGGCCTGTGGGAGGACAGAGGCGGAGCATGAGCCAGGCAAAGGGAGGCACCAGCCAATCCCACTGTTCTCAGAGGCGCCCCACTCACCTGGTCCAGCTTGGCCCGGGGCACGTTCTGCTGGTGGTAGGCAAGGATGGAGTCAGCCCGGCCCTGCAGCACGGCCTCGGCGGCCCTGCACAGAAGGGTCACGCACAAATCGGTCAGGGAAACAGGTGGGCCGGGGAGAGCCCTTGCCCTTCCCCCACCTAGCCCAGCCTAGCCCTGGCTCCCTGCAGGCGGACACTCAGGACTGCAGGCTGAGGGGGGCACAGAGCAGGCTGGGCCCACCCCGAGGCACTTACGTGTTGGCCAGATGGGTGGTGAAGACGTACACGTACTGTGAGGGAGGCTTGCCGGGGACACCCCCACCCCCACCCCCGGGGGCGTCGGGCCGGAGGCCAGGCGGTGGCCCATGTGGGGGTCCTGGAGCGCTGCTCTCGCTGAGGGGAAGTTGGGCGGCTTGGCCGGGACCCAGCTGTGGGGCCGTCATGGCTGGGTCTGCTACATTACAGTCTGCATGAGAGAGGAGAGAAGCCGGGTGAGCAGCCTCGACTCAGAAAGGAGAGCCCGCTGGCGCTGCCCCCCACCCCATCCCAGGCAGGCTCACTGCTTTTCAGCTCAGGTCAGCTAGGTGATCTTTTGCCACACTCCGGTGGTATGTGTCTGGTGTCCACGCTTACTTGCCCTAGACGTCTTCAACCAGGACAGAAATCATGGGGACCATATGGAGATGAGGGGGAGGGGAAATGGGACAGGCTCCCCTGTGCGTGGCATCCCAAAGGACACTTAAGATGTGATTCCCTCTGACCACAACATCCCTGGAAGGGAGGTGTCCTATGCTCTGCTTTACAGAGGAGGAAACAACTCTGGAGGAATGACATTAACTCACCCAACATGACACAGCCCATCAGTGCCGAACCGGGATCTGAACTTGGGCTGGGACTCCAAAGGCCTGTTCTGAGCCCACAGACTACGGGTGTGTGTGGGGGGGTGTGTGCACCTGCAAATGCTCTGACCAGGTGAGGGGAGAAGGCCAAGAGACTGCACAGATTGATGAGTCAAATGATGACTGGTTTTGCATTCTAGCTCACCACTAACGGACTCTGTGCCCTTAGGAACAAGACAGCTCATCCCTTTAAACCTCTGTTGCTTCATCTATAAAATGGGAACACTAACTCCCTGCTCTGCACAGTGGGGCAGGTCAAAGAAATCTATTTTTACAGCAACTTCAGAAATATGTCGCCAACAACAACAACAACAACAAAAATCACTTAGAAAACAGAGTTAGAAAAGACTGGCATAGTGGGTGCCCTCCCAGGGTAGACTGACCACCCTGAGCACCAAATGATGTCTGTTCCATGGCCATAAAGTAGACCGAAGTCCAAGCCCCAAAAAGATCTACGCGTGGTCATTAACGAGACTAGGTAAGTCAATGGACCCACTCCCATGCCAAGATAAACAAATTTTGCACAGAATAACAGAGCCAACAGCTTGGGGGCGGGGGGTCCTGAGAGCTGGCCTCAGTGTGTGAGGGCTGTCCTGGGAAGAGGAAGGTGCATAATACTCTGTACACAGAGCTAGGACTCCCGGGTACAAGTTACAGGAGGGAGGCAGGCTTTATTCCAATAAGGAACTTTCTAGTACAGTAACAGTAATGAAAACGAGCAGTGTTGTGTCATGTGTAGCAAGTCATTCGCTCCTCACACCAATCCTGTGAAGAGACCCATTCCTATAGATGAGGAAATTGGGACCCTTTCCCAAATTCACACAAATAATAAATGGGAGATCCAAGACACCAACCAAAGTTGTGTGACTGCAGCGTCTGTGCTATTAGCCACTACATCGGCTGCCCCCAAGCTAAGAACTCTCTGAGAACGTCATGGCAACTACAAGTAAAATAGGATCAGTGGTTGTCTTAGTGCTGGGGATGGGATGGTAGCACCTTCTCTGTATTTCCCCTGTTTCTTCCAGCGTTTCTACATCCTGGCAGTCTAAAGTTATAAAAGCAAACTGATGGGGGCTGTGGGTCCCAGGAGGCAGTGACCACCCCCATCTGTCACTGACAGGTTCAGAGGGGCTCATGGACGGCCAGTCCCCTGGGGCCGGCACCTGGGACCAGAGGACCTTTAAAGTTCCAGCCTGTACACCCCACTTCCACGGACATGGTCCACTCCTTCCAAAAACATAGGCTCGGCCTGTTTCCTCCTCTGCAATAGGCATCTTAACCGTAACCACACCTACTTCCCAGGGCTACTGGAAGGCTTAAACAAAGTAGCAAAGGAGCCAGCACATTTTTTTCTTCCTTCTTTCTAGTTAGGGTCCCAGCCCACCGAGCAGGTCACCATTTAACATTCTCTGGCTAGTTCACCTGCATTAAGTTGTTTCTCCCCTCAAAGAGATGTCAGCTTTGAGGGAAATCACCCAATAAATGTGTGCGGGCTTCCTAAGGGTGGGAGAGTGTCCGGTTCTCCCCATTACTTGAACAAGGCCCAAATACACACTGGTCAATAAAAGAATGAGAGGAGTGGGCATCCACCCACACCCACGCCTCGTCCTGGTGATGCACGCTAGGCATTTGCCAGCCATCAATCAGAGGCTGGGGATGGGCGCCAGAGACAGAGCCAAGGTAAGCTCCCACCCAGGCTCAGCCAGACTTCTGAACCAACGGTCTGGCTCTCAGCAATGCAGGACCCTCGCCACCCTCCCTCTACTGACCAGTAGGTGGCAGCAGAGGCCAAGAATTCATGGGAGGAGGTGGAGGTCGTAGGGCCAGGAGGGGCCACCCCACCCTACCTCTGTCCCTAGGAAGAGGGGCTCACTGAGCACCTGGAAGGCAGGGGCTAAGCTGTCACAGCGCAGGGAGGGACAGAGTGACAGGTGAGATGGGAAAGAAGTAGTCTGGGTTCCTGACCCTTGCTCTCTCTCAGACTCAGGCCTTTGAAGGTGAGGAGAGGGAGGCTCCCTCAGGGCAGCCATGTCCCCGGGGCACCATGGGCCACAAGATCCTGGCAGCAATGGGCACTCACTGTGGGTGGCCCCAATGGGCTTGTCGTCCTCCTCACTGTCGGGTCCTGAGCACCATTCGTCCCCGCTGTATGGCTGCTTCCGCTCCAGCACACACCGCCGCTTACTCCGGGGTGCCACCTCTGCCCAGGCAGGACAAGGCGGGCAGGGGTCAGACCAAGTGCCCAGAGGCCCCGTCCTCCCACAGCCAGGGTCTCCATGGGCCCATTCTCCCAGATGTCCCACCCTAAGAGGGCACTGCCCAGGCCACGGTGGGCACTTTGCCAGCCCTTGGCCCCCACCACACCATTTGTTTCTGATTTCTCTCTCCAGCCCCGCTGCCTGTCTCCCTTCCCCCACCCAGCACCAAGCACGGCATAATCCCCAACCACAACTGGTTCTAATTAGGGCTGGGGGGGGTGGTGAGGGAGGGGAGAGCCACTGCTACCCTTGCAGGCCCCAGAGCCTGCTCAAAGACTCCCACCAGATGGGATACCAGGAGGTTCCTTAGGAGGTGTGTGGGTCTGCTCCTCACCCCAGAGCACCTCCCTCTCCCCCTCCAGAGAGGAATGAGGCTGACCATTACGCCGTGTGGCCCCTCCCGTGGGTGGCACCTGAAGATGACAAGGGCCTGCCCTGGCCACCCCCGCTCCTGAGAGAATGGCCAAGCCAGTGGGTATAACGGGGGCAAGAGAAAGGTGACCCCGCATAAATGCTGGAGAGAAGCAAGGGAAAGGGATTAGGCAAAGGGGGCAGCAAGCGTGGGCCTTGGACTGGAACATACTGGAGTCTTAGGGATCAGGAAATGGGGTACCTTTGGCCTCTGAATCCAGGGATGGAGTCCCAGCCTCTCGCTGCTCTCCAGAGTCCACAGACACGCTCCGCTCCCTCTTCACCTTGCCCTTGAGTGAGCTGAAAGGGGGCACCCCTGCTTGGGGGTTCTTCAGACTTGAGTTGCTGGGTGAGATCTGGTTGGCCTTGGCCCCATGGCTCCCCGCCCCCACGCCCTTCGGGCCCAGGTTGCAGGTGGGTCCTTGGTTCACATTCTGGTGCTGGGATTGGGCCCCTCCATTCCCTGTCTTGCCATGATTGGTCAACTTATTTTCTGGGTGCATTGGCTTGGCTGGGGCTGGGGGGCAGTGGCCGCGCGGGGACAGCGGCGGGCTCCCTGGAGCTTCTCTCCTCCTGGGGTGGGGTAACCTGGGACAAGGTGGGAGAAACACGAAAGGTTAATCTTGCTAGGGGCCTAGCATGCCTGCATTTTAACCATCCCCATCCCGCCTCACTTAATGGTAATGGACGTGGGGGCCAAGGAGCGTGTTAAGACCACCAGCTATTCCCTATCTCCTCCTGTGGTTCCTCAGACAAGGGCTGATGCCTTTCTCCACCTTGGGGAGTGAAGATAGGGCAATCCTCTCCACCTCTCAGACCCCACAATTCAAGTAGAAACCAGGGCCTTGGGAGGCAGAATCCACCCCCACCCCCAACATCCATCGGACAGCAAGCCTCCCAGCAACTCCCCCCAACTAGCACCTGACCAACACCTGAACATCTCTTTCAGGCTTTGCTCTCTCCAGACTACTTCCAAGGTCCTAATCCTCAACTTTGATGTGCTCCACACCCGCAGGTGAGGGGCACAGGACCTGAGGGTCACTGCTCATGCCTCAGCTCCATTCCCCTGGGGACGTGGAGACAAGCACACTGCAGAGTGGTACCCACTGGTCCAGACAGCTCCTCAGAGCAGGAGGGGAAAGCCTGAAGGGGGTCCACCAGCAGGGCTGGCAGGCAGGCAGGAGCAGGAGGAAAGGGGGAGGGGAGCGGTGTGCGGAGCAGACTGGAGCGAAGCTGGAAACCAAGGATTCCTGCAGCCTAGGCTGCGGGCCCTTTAAGCTCCAGCCCGTTCCCCCCACCGCCTCCCCCTCCCCGGAGACCTATTAATAGCCGCTGGAAAGATCACATCACGGGAGAGGATATTTATCCCCCCTCATTCCACACCAGCTCAGATTTATTTCAGCTCTGCTGTCCTGCTGCTGCCGCCTGGCCCTGTCTGCCGGCTTCTCCTGGGGAAGGGGAGGGAGGCAGGTACCGCCCCTCCCTCCAGCTTCCACCCCCAGCTAGACTGAGGCCAGAGGGCGCCACTGGACCCGACAGTGGGGTGGGCCAGGGTCTGCTCAAACCGTTTTTTAGGAGGCAAGGGCTGAAAGGGACTAGAGCAGTAGGCCTAGTTGATTGCCACTGCCCTCTGTCCCCTGGGCCCAGACATGAAGGCTGTGGGCTCCTGCCTCAGGGCAGGCCATCCCATTCTGACCCCCCGGTGGCCTTAGAAGCCAAGTGGCCATAGGGCTCACTGTCCAAGCCAGCACATCTCAGCCCCATGATCACTGGGCCCTTCCCTTCCCCGCACTCCACACACACACACACACACTTCCCGCCCTCCACGACACCCACACACCTTGTCTTGTTAGCCAGGATCCTCATGGCTCCCACACACAGTGGGGCTACGGCCCCTGTGCGTGCCCAGGGCCCAGCCAGGTACTCGGTACTGGAGCACGGACTGCAGCAACAAGCCCCAAAGAGAAAACTTGTGACTTGGGGAGGGGGTGTAGGAGGGGAGGGGAGAAGGGAGGACCCAACAGCCCTGGGACTAGGGAACTAGACAGGGTAAGGTGGGAATGGAAAGGGAGGACTACTAGCTGGGGTCTCTATCCTAGAGGCCGATTGTATCCCCATCCCTCCCGCACCTGACCCTCAGGGAGCTTGCAGTCTCTAGCAGGGCCCCCCTTTCCCCGGGCCGCAGAGGCAGAAGTCACTGAAAGGATAGGTTGCAAAGACGCCCGCTTGGGGCGGCCGTGAGGTCTGCTCTGGCCCCTTGGGGGGACTCCCGCTCCCAGGCACGCCCCTCACCCCGGGTGGGGAACTCCTCTCGCCCCGCCCCCCAGGGCGCCCCCAGGCGCCAAGGTGGCCTGGGTAGGGGCAATGCCCCGCCCCGCCCCCAGCTCGAGGCCTAGCCCGTGCCCATTCCAGCAGGCCCGGGCGGGCAGCGAGAGGCCTGGCGGGGCCCCGGGGCTGCAGCTGGGCTCTTCTGGAGACCAGTAACGCTGGCTCAGATTCCTCCCCGACCGCAAGAATGCAGGAGCCTCCCCTCCCCCCCCACCCCGCCCCTGCACCCCACCCCGCCCCCTTCGGCAGAGCCCGAGCGGAGAGGCAGAGCGAGCGAGGGAGCCAGCGAGCGAGCGAGCGAAGGAGCGGGAGACGGACAGGACTGCAGCTTGCCTCGCCGGCCCCGCACGCGCCGCACGGACAGACACCCGGCCAAGAGCGGCCAGGGGCTGGGCGGGGCGGCGGCGGCGGGCCGAGGTTCGGCCTAGCGCTGGGCGCCGCCTGGCAGGGGCTCCGAGACCCGCAAGCACCCGAACTCTGACTCACACACACTCACAGCTCACACGTGGACGGGGAGACAAAGACACGCACGGAGCCCAGGAAACTAGAGGCGCACCCACGCCGACCCGCGGAGGTGTGCTGGAGGGCGAGGGAGGCGCTGGCCCAAGCAGGAGCACAGAATCAGCCTGGGGCACCCGCAGGCGCCCAAGCTGCCCGACGGCAGAGAGGGAGCGCGCCGACTCATGGAACGGATGAAAAGAACGAGACCCGGCCCCAAGGGAACCAGAGAAAGTTGAGCCTGGTAGTGACAAAGGAACACACGCGCGCGTACACACATACACGCGGGGCCATAGATACACCAACAAACAGACTCACGCAAACACAGAAGCCTCACCCAACCGCCCCCTGCCCTGCGCTCCCTGGCCCCACCGATCGGGGTGGGGGAGGGGGGGAGACTTGGGCCCAGCCTCGCCCTCGTGATCCGGCCAGCGTGACACCGGTGCGCACTCTCGCCGCTCCCAGCGGGGCTGGAGGCTGGGCTGGACGCGGAGGCGAGGCCCCCACCCACCCATAACCCTGTGGGGGTCTAACCCTAAATTAACCCCAGGCGTATTGGCCTTCCCTCTTCTAGGTCTCCCTCCGGGAAGAGAGGCTCCTCAGGGGACGGTTCCAAAGTCCAGGGCCGGCTGGGAAGCCTCCCTCGGCCAGCCCCCATCTCCTGCAACAGGTTAGAGCAGAAGCAGTTAAGAGGAGGGCTGGAGAGGGACCTGGGCTTAGAGACGGCCCTGTGGCCGACGGGTCTCACTCAAGCTCTCACCTTCACCACCAAAGTCCTCAAAACTACCTATCACCTAAAGAGACAGTATTATTATCCCCTTTTCACCAGAAAGAAACTGAGGTGTGCCAAAAGGAATCCACGTGCCCCTGGGTCATGTGACAAGTACGTGGCAGCTCCAAGACCCCATTCCTGGGGCTCCCCCACCCCAACTTCAGTGTCTCCTCCCCCCTCCCTTGAAGTCAGGACTCCTCATCTGAGCGGGCACCAGAAAGGTGGGCTTCTAGCCACTGGGCCCACCCGCACTACCTCCTGTGTTTACAGCTTCAAATGTTGGGACTTGGAATATTTTGGGAAGGGGCTATTAGAAAATTAGTTCTCTCCGGTGTCCCCAGTCAGTCCTCAGAAGAATCTTGGAGTGGCCCTCCCCGCTCCGACTCCACCCCCTTGCTCCCACCCCACCGCAGGGCGAGCTGAGTCAAGCACAGATGAGTCAGGACTTTCCCATCTCACACCTCCCCCCTACCCCTCAGGAGTTTGCAGGGGCTCCCAAAGACCATTCCTCCTCTACACACTCAGCTCCCCCCAAGACACCTGGAGGGCCTAGGGATGGGGGGTGGCTAACTCCTGGTCGGTGCTGTGAGTGAAGGGGGCTTCCCAGCACAGGAGCAGGAGCGCCTGGGATGAGGGAAAGGAAAGGCATGGGACTCTGGAGTGGTGACTTGTGCTCACAAGCAGGAGCAAACGGCCAGGAGCACAAACCAGGAGGCTACTGAAACAAAGAGCCTGAGGTCAGCTGCTTCCCCATGGCCTTCCCTAGGGCGTTAGGGGGAGCCGGTGTACCTGACCCCGGTGGGGGGAGGGAGATCAGGAAGGCTTCCACAGATGCCTTCAATGGGTGCTCAACACAGAACCAGCACAGGTATAATGGGCATTCACACACCAGTGGCAACCTGACTATTTTCAGCTGCCCCAGCACTGGGACCCCCTGCTTGGTTCTCCAGCTGGTCCACTGACCTCATTGCCTAGCTCAAAACCACCCAAGAGAGGCAACGAGAAAATGGTTTGGAGGCTTCATGCTCCCCAGCATGGTGGGCAGACTCCTCTAGAGAAGAAATGGGCTGCTCAGGCCCTCCTGGAGCCATGGGGGTGGAATTATTGTCCCCGGGCTCAAGGAGATGCAGCTCCCAAGACAAGCGCTGGGTCCCTTTTCTCCTAGGTTTCGGGACTCCTTGGTCCCTAGAGGCTCTCCTCTACCACCCAGGTCACTTCCTCTTCCTGAGGTGGTGACTCAGCCCAAGTGGGGAGGTCAAGGATTCATAGCCCAGCAGGAAATCTGCTCAAGGACCAAGGTATTGCTCTGGGACCCTCTGTGTGGGTCCTCAGAGGCCTTCCCCTCACCCTGGCTCCTAGCAGCTCTCCCCACTTCCCCCAACCCCACCTCTTGCCAAAGGAGACTGTGCAAATCGATCATTTTTGTCTGGTTGACAAACCACCTCGCCCCACCTGCAGCCCCAGAATGTTGCCAGGCAACCCCAGTCCTGCAGTTCCGTGGGAACTCCTAGTCCCAGACTACTCTAGTCGGGGTCTCTGAACAAGGTGCTTCTGGGGAGAAGGGGGTGTTCTGCCCATTCTGGTGCCCACTGTCCCTTCTGGAGTCTCTAAGACAAGTGGCATTGCCTAGACAAGCTTGAAGTCACCTCTCTTGGCTCCCTCAGCCACTGCCAAGGTGGCCAGGCCTTGGGACGCAGTCATGCCTTGGCAGTGGGGTGCCCCCAAAGGCAGCTGCCCAGTCCCTGGCTGCTCCCTCCCTCAGGGCGGAGGGGGAACGGAGGGTGGGGGGCACAAGGAAACAAGACAGGGCAGGAAGCCCAGGCAGGCGGCGGGCACTCTGGGCCAGGCACAAACAGCCAACACAGGAAACCACAGCCCACCCCCGCCCACCCCACCCGCCCAAAGCTCTGGGAGAGAGGAGCTGCCAAGAGCCTGGTACCCCTAACCGGGGTAAGGGCCCAGGGTTAGCCCAGGGCAAGGCAAGAGCCAGAAGTTCTTTTCAGTCCTCTCTCTGCCCCAGACCCTACCTGGGGAGGGGGAGAGGAAGCCAGGCTGGCAGGGATGGTGCTGCCTCTTTAAATCCACCGAAATCCTGAGCTAGGCCCAACCCAGCTCTGGTTTCACAGGAAGGAAAGGAGCTCAGGAGCCAGTAGGGCAGGCAGTGGTGGCTGGAATTAGCCCCACCGGCCCAAATATATCTGGTCTCCGCCTGCCACCCCACTGGCACTTCCTGGCCCCTGGCACCTGCACCACGGTGGGGGTGGGAGAGGGTCTAGGTGCTCCTCCCTCCCCAGGGGGAGACCCCGGTGTCTGCAGTGGTTCTGTCGCCGGGTACACGTGGGCGAAAGGTGACTTCCCAAAGCCCGGAGGCCCAGAAGGGAGGACTGGGCAGGGTAGCCCCCTATGGGCCCTCACCTGGCCTGTCCTCCAAGGGGTTAATCTGGCCCCTGTTTGGGGGGAGGTAGGGGTGGCCTAGGAACCTCCTCCAAACTGCCTGGCGGCTGGGAACAATGGGGCCATTGTGGGAGGACCAGAGTGCGGGCAGACTGCTGGCACAGCCAGCAGCGCACCACGGGGCGGGACCTCACCCAGCGCCCGCCGCTCGGCTTGCTCCCCCAGGTACCGCCAGCGGCAGACACATCCTCCCTGCCCCCTCACCTCGCCTGCCTGGCCCAAACCCCTGGCCGCAGCAGCACCTGGAGAGCCCTCCAGCTCTGCCCACGTTGACATCCAGATGGCCGTGACCCTGCAGGAAGCGGGAGCCTGTGGGCCAGGACGGGGTGGGGGTGGGGCCTGAGAGACAGGATGTATGCCTGTGATCCTCCCGCAGGGAAGACAGGAAGGCCAAACGGGGTTTCTGGTGTCAGTCCTGGCACCCTCAGGGTAGAAGGGCTTAGGGGATTGTGAGACCAGGGACAGGCAGGGTCCCCTGCCCCCAGGCCTCCTTTCCCACACTCATTCCAGAAACCTGCTCCCTGAAGAGATCCTGTCCCCAGCAGCCTTACCTCCTGGGGTTGGGATGCCAGGCCCGGAGTGCAATGAGGGCCATGAGGGCCGCGTTCACGGTCAGGGAGACAAGGTGCCAATCACATCCCGCCCTGTCTGAGCTAGAGGACTTGTCCTTTTGACCTGTATCCTCATCTTCAAAGTGAGGGTACATGTATAGGGTGAGATGGTTTTCTTAGTGAAACCATCTCACAGAATGCCTATGACATACTCGGCTCTCAAGAAACCATTTCTGGCCATGATGTCCCTCCCCTTCTTTACCCTCTCATAGCCCCCAGATATGTGGGCATTTGGTAAATAAATGTAGGCATTTGCCTTGGAGCATCCAAGGGAATGGGGCCCACGGACATCATATAAGGGGGACCAGGTACAAATATGTGGCTCTTCTGCTCTCCTGGAAGGGGCCAGCTCCCTGAGTTAGCTCTTCCCTGGGCATCACTGACTTCACCGCCATACACTTGAAACCAGAGTGTGAACCCAGAAAGCAGTCATCCACTCTCTTAGCTTCGGGTGTGTGTCTCAAAACCTCAGGAGGCAAGTCAGAGGGGACTTCCCGTCAACAGTGGCCCAGCTGCCGCCAGCCAGGCAGCCTTCTCCCTGCCTACTTGGTCATCTCCTGCAAGACTTGGGGTGGAGGAAGCTGGAGCCTACTTTCTTCTCATGCGTGCACGTCCTTAAAGAGAGAAGGGTCTGAGAGGGCCAGAGGAGCAACTGGTGCAGGAAGTTCTGGAAAGCAGGGGTCCAGGGAAAAGACCTGTCCTCTTCTCAACTAGAGAGGGCTGTCCCTCTCAGGATGGCTCCACAAGCCCCCAAAGGGTTAATAAGGCCCTAAAAATAACCTGCTCCCAGCAGGACCCTCCAGCCATCTGTTCCCATTTTCTCCTGTTCACATTGGAACATCTGAAACCAGACCTAGAGCCCCAGCCCGATCCCAAAAATAGCCCCAGACTGCCCAAGGAACAGGCCCCAGGGGCCGGGCATAGGCGGCATGGCCAGCCCAGCAGTGCAGCACAGCCCAGGCCAACCCAGAGCCCTCACTTTCAGGCCCATAGAAGGGAAGTGTCCTCTCTGGCTCCAGAAGAAGGGCTGAGGGTTCCAGAAGGATGCGTAGAGCCAGGGGCTCCAGCCCACATATCTCGGTACCAGGCCAGAGAAGGTTCCTGGCAGCCAAGCCCCGGTCTCAGACCCAGGAGCCCTGGGATCGCAGGCACTTCTGCCACATCTTACAATCCACTTTCTCCTGAGATCTGGATACTCACTCCCCGGAAGAGCCAAACGTTGTGTGTCCACTCTGCTGTGCACTCCTGGGGTCCTCCTCCAGAGGTTCCCAAGCCTCGGCTCCATGCCACACCCCTCAGAAGCCCTGCTCACCCCATGATCCTTGGCACTCACCCTACCCCAGGGCACACAGGGCTGAAGCAGAACTCTTTCCAGCACTGCCCACACTTACCACGCAGCCCACGAAAAGAGTCCTCTGGCCCCTGTGGATGCTGATGTGACCCCACCCCTCCTCTGAGCTGCAGGATGCCTCCTCCCTGCCTGGCTGTGCGTGGCAGGTGCCAGGCATGCCCATCTGGGCTTCTATACATATCACAGGCCTGGGCACTGCTCTGCCACACTCGGGGAAAATGCCCAGGCAGAGGGTCCAGGGAATCCGGGGGACCCTGGGGCAGCCCTAACAGCTACCATGCGTGTCACAGCTCCGCACTGCCACTGTTCTCCCCAAGGAAGGTCCCTGACCCCTTAGGCCAGGAAGGAGAGGAGGCAGCCAGTTAAGCCATTTAAGGACAGAATGTTGCGTTCAGCCTGGTGAAAGAACAGAGCAGCAGGGATGGAAGGGTGGGAGGGGTGCTAAGTTGATCTGAGCCAGCAGCCTGGGGGAGGGAGAGCTCAGCCTGGGAAGCACTGGCAGATAGGGAGGGACACGTCCTAAGTCCCCCAGGCCCTTCTCTGCGCCTACGGCCATTTGGTGAACCTGCACCCAAGATGTGAGCTGGCTCCAACAGTGGGGAGACTGAGGCAGTGAGAAAGTGAGTCTGGAAGGGTGTTAGAATCTCGGAGTCCGAAGTACGGGAAAGGTTGTCCTCCCCCACCCCCACTCCCCAGTCCTCCACTGCCAATGGCCAGGCCAACCGTTCTTCCAGGCCAAAGCCCCCCGGGGGTGGGGTTAGGAGTTCCTGTAGAAAGCAATGTCGAGGAGCAAAGAGGAGGCTCACTACCTCATACTGAGCATTTTATGCCGTCGCATCAGGCTGTCCTGAACGCTACACATACACACGATCTAATTTAATCCTCACAACAGCTCTACACCAAAGTACTTTTATGATCCCCCACTTTAAGGCACAAGGAAGTTAGGTGACTTTCCTAAGTTACACAGTCCAGAATGAGAAGAATAGGGATTTGAACCCAGACACGCCCGCAACTGGGTTCTTAACCATTTTGCAAGACCAGTTCACCCTGTACCGGTGCTCTAACGAGAGAATGGGCGCCCCTCACCATTCCACACACACTCCCTCCACGCCCGATGTGCCCCAGGTCATGGCTAGAGGCCACAGTTCTTGCCCAGGGAAGAGATCAGAGAGAGGGCACCCCTCCCCACCCCCTCGGCACAGGTGCCCTGAGAGAAAAGTTCTCCGGGGGGGCCCCCAGTCACACCCACCCCCAGTCCGCTATGTCCTCCTTGCCCATCCTGGTCCCAAAAGAAGGGAGCCAGGCAAGTTACCATGACAACAACACTGGGCCCCTGCTAAGAGAGACCGATGGGCTGGAGGGGAGTCCACCGCTCCTCTCACTCTCCAGGTGGGGGTCAAAAGTCAAGTGGGACTCCCTAGTGAAGGGTAGAGTCCAAGCCCTGCCCCCACACCTGCTCAGCCACACCTGTCACTGCTCCCCACTTTTTTCATTGCCTGAGTTGGAAACGGGATGACTTCCTCCTGGTCCCTGAGAGGCAGTGGCCTCCAGTGGGCCCCCAGGAAGGAGAGTGGGGGGATCAGAAGCCCCTCCCTCCAGAGGACAGTCTGAGAGATGTGCCTCCTCCCAGACCTCCGCCTTCTGCAGCCTTCCCTAGTCAGCCCAGGAGCCTACAGGCGTGTTTGTTGTGAATTCAGGGAGTTGTTGCTAAGTAAGGAAGGAGGGGAGGGAGGGAAGGAGGGGGGGTTAGCAGTAGGGAGAGAGCCTGTGTGTGTGTGTGTGTGTGTGTGTGTAGGCCAGGGCAGAAACCACATTTCGGTGGCTGATAGCCACCCTGGCTTTGACTCAGCAGGGGGAGGCCAAAGCCAGGACGGAGCGGGGCAAGCACTTGGGATGACCAGGAAACCCTACCTTGCCCTCCAGGGGTGATTGGGCAGGAGCTCCCCACCTCCCAGGCCTGGAAAGATTCCAGCTCAGAGAAGACCTGGGACTTTCACAGGGGTGGGGCTTTACCCCTCCCTGCCCCAGCCCCACCCCCCAGGTTCCAGGTTGTAAGGCTGCTAGCTCCCCTCCTCTGGGGGCAGGAGAATGCAAGGAGAAGTGGGGGCAGAAAGCCAGGAGGAGGGCGCCCAAAACAAAAAGCCAAGCAGGAGACCAGCAGACAAGAGAGCAGCAAGGAGGCTGCAGAGGGCAGGCACAAGCACACAGAGCTCTCACCTCAGGAGTAACTGTGTGCCGGGCTCAGGCTCAAGGGTGTTGTCTGGGAAGGGGGCTCCCTGTGGAGAGAGGGTCACTCACAGCTAGAAGCCCCAAGCCAGCAATCTAGGGCCCTGCTCCTCCCATAACCCCAGCCCCTCCCCCAACATGTACACCACAGAAACGTGTTCACACACACACACACACACACACACACACACAGCCTGCAGCTCCAGGAAGTCTCTGAGCTACTCGGACACCACCACACCCCCACACCCCCACTCCAGGACTTCTGTGGATTGGCTGGGAGCCAGGCCTGACCCAGCTGCTGCACCACACTGCTCCCCCTCCCTATCCTGGAAGCAGGAAAGGAGAAGGCACTGGAAGATGCCTTCAACAGAGGCGGGGCCAATGACTCCCATGACCTGGCCTGAGGTCCTGGGGGAAGGGATGGGGATGGGGAGACCAGAGGACCCTGGCAGCCAGCCCCAGGATTATCCTATGTCAGAGATAAGAATGGGGCCTCTCCCGTGTCCATGTGTGGTCCCTTTGGCTATACCCCTTGTCCCCTGAAGATGCAAAGTCCCCACCGGCCTGGTTGGGAGGGCCTGGGGTGAGAGGATCTGGCTTAGGAGTTCCGTAGGAGGGGGGCTGAGTGAAGCTCCCACAGGCAGGCGGGAGGGAGGCTGGTGGCTGGGCTCAGTTTGTACTGGGGGTCAAAGGGGAGTTCTTTTCCGAAGAATTCTGGGAGAGACGCCAACTAGAGCAAGCTGCGAACCACCCCTCCCTCCCTCCCTCCCTCTCTCTCTCTCTCTCTCTCTCTCTCTCTGCACTGGGGGCAGGGGGTGTCCCTGCCAACCAGACTTAACCCTGTCCAGCCTGTGTTGCTCCCAGGCCCAGGAAGGGGGAGCTGGGTAGGAGACCTCCAGCTGGGCCCAACTTCCAGTTCAAGAGGGCAGGTGCGGGGCCTCTTCCGCCAGAATGAAGCTGGTTCCACACAGCCCCATCTGGTAGCGCCCTGCCCTACCGCCCCCTAGGTGACTTTTCTAGGCTCATCTCCTGAAGGTGTCTGCAGTGACGTGTGTGCGCGTGTCTCAGAGACAGAGATTGAGAAACAAACTGAAAATTCCTTGCCAAAGCCCTCCCCTTGCTGGGTCACTGAGCACTGTACCAACCTGTGCCTCTAGGCCTCCCTTCCTCCCACTGTGTCCTGGGACCAGAGGCCATGGGGGTGGGGGGAAGGGACAGCTTATCCTCTGCCTACATCCTGCTACTGTCTGCACAGGCCCTAGACTCCTACAAACAGCCCCTGCCTGGGCCCTCTTCTTCCTCACTGATCTGACCCAAGTGCTTCTAGAGGAAAGCATTCAATTAGAGCCTGAGACCCCAGGATGGGATACTGAGTCATAGGAAATTATCAAGGGTTCCAGGGCCCGAATCCCATGCTAACATAACTCTGTTATCACCACCCTTGCTTTGGCAAAAAAAAAAAAAAAAAAAAACTCCCACCTGGCCTCCTCCCCCACTGTAGAACACGGTCTAATTGCAGAATGAACTTAAACATGAAGGACGTCCCAGGCTACAATGGCAGCTGGCCCCACCCCAAATACCCCAAATGCCTTGTATTTCTGGGGTGGAATATCACCCCCTTAGGATTCCAGCCTCCTCTGTCTTCTGTAAAGACTGGAAATATGAATGTCTTGTCTTATTTTGCTGTCTCCCCCTAGCTAGAGAAGTCAACTTTCCTGAATCTTAAATTAGCCACCAAGCTCCCAGGTCTGATGTGGCCGGCCCCTTCCTCAACCCCAGTGAAGCAAGTGACTGGGATGGAGGCTTAACTCCCTCTCCTAGCCCTTCCTTTGGGGACTGGCCTCCCTATGATCACCCATCACCCACCACTGTATCATGAGGTCAAGAAGAGGGTGTTGGGACCCCAAAGGTGCTGGGTGTCTTTGAGGGGCAGAGGAAGAGAGCCCAGTCAGGGGGAGGGGAGCAGTTTATCCCAAAGTCCCCCCATGCCACCACTTTCTCTCCAAGGACCCTGGCCCTGCCAGAAGCCTTGGCCCCACTCCAGGAAATCTCCCAATCAAGGGACAGAGCACTCCATGTCCCAGGTTGCTGCGGGGAGACCTGTGACTACACACACCAGACATGTTCAAAGGGAGGAGGAGAGAAGCAAGAACAGAAGCAGAACACACACACACACGTATACACACACATAAACTCATCAAAGAGACACAACCCCAGGCACACACACTCCTCAGAGACACTCCCTGGGACGTGCAACTGAGACACAGACACGACTCCCAAAGATACACGTCCAAGATCTCTATCTCCTAAAAATAACCCCAAACTCCCTAAGAATGCCTCGAGACCCACAGAGGCTGCCATACTCCCAGAGAATGAGGACAGCCAGAATCACAAAAGACACGGGCCAGTCACACAGACCTGCTGACAGACAGAAGATATACCCACACTGGGATACACACACACACACACACACACACACACACACCCATGCCCGTGAGCGCCTGTGCACACACACACACACACACAATAGTATGCACGTGGCTGAGTGCTAGCACTCGAACTCACACACACACACACACACACACACACACACACACACACACGCACACACAGACCCTGGCAATGCACAGCGTGAGGTCAGATTAGAGGACTAAATTCTGGACTAGTGGGGAGGAGGGGAGCCAGAGGGGGGTGGAGAAGTACTCAGGGATTTCAAAACAATCTTGGTTTCGAAATGCTGGAAATGCTGGATTCAGGGCCATTCCCAGTTGAGGCTGGGGGGTGGAGAGTAGGGGGGAGGGGAAGGCAGGCCAGCGAAGGGCCACCAGCCCTTTGGAGAGGGGGTGGGGCAGAGGGAATCCCAGCCTCCCAGGGAGGGGGGCCTGGAAGAGACACCAAGGTTAGGAGGGTCAGGTGGTCTAGGCACCAGCAGGAAGGGCCTGGGGTGGAAAGGAGGCAAAGAAGGAGAGGACTCTGCTTTGGCCACTGACTGAAAAAGTAAGAAGGCAGGGGAGGCTGCCCTTCCCCTCAGGAGTGAGAGGAAGAGGGAAGTTGCCTGTGCCTGCTTCCCCCATTTATGGGCGGTGGTCAACACCTTCTCCTCTACAGAGTAACAACCAGGCTCCCCTTTACCAGCTAGTAGAGCCCAAAGGTGGGCCCAAAGCTAAGGGGTCCGAGGGGGTGGGGGGACAGCAAGGGCCCCACAGGGCTCAGAGATCCTCCGTGGGACCCAGGACTCCCCATACTCAGAGCAGGGTGGGAGACAGTTCCTGGGGAACCAGGGGCTTCCCTCTTCTTCATGGGGAGGGGGGCTTTTGGGGAGACTGAGGCAGTGCAACATACCCCCACACCCAGGAAGTCACCCCTCCCCTCCCAGGGCAGCAGAATGCCCTTACTGCCCCTCCCCCAGCCTCTAGGGAAAGTGGGCAGCTCTCTCCCAGGGAGGGCAGGTCAGGCCAGGCTGGGGGTGGGGCTCTGGAGGCCTGGCCCTGGCACCCAGCAGAGGAAATTCCAGGCTGTAACTCCAGGCTGCCTTTAGGGCCGCCCATCCAAAGGACAAGCAGCACCTCGAGAGAGAGCGCTATGGGGGCCTTCTCCGCCTAGCCCCCCAGCTCCTGGCTTCCAGCTACCTAGCCCTCCAACTAGCCCCAGCCCAGCTCTGATAGTTAGAGGACTGGACCTGGGGAAACAGCACTCTCTGGATGAGCCTCTAGCAGACCCATCCCGGCCCCTTGGCCACTCTGAGCTGCCTTTCCCCAGATCCCTGGGGGCAGCCCCTCCAGTGTGGCTAGGGTGGGCAGCTGCCAGGGCTAGCAGGCAGGGGCACACATGCCACGCTACAGCAGCCAGGCGCTCAACAGGTTGAGCCAGTCCCTGGAACAGCCAGCCCCACCCCAGGGAGAGCGGGCCTGGCAGAGGCTCCCTGCCCGCGGCACCCAGCGTGCACCCGCTTGGCTCCCACGGCTGCCCGCTTTCCCACGCTGCCATCCCCCTCTGCCCCCTCCCCCTAGGTCAGCACCCGGGCAGTGCCCAGGACTCCTGGCACAAGGAAGGGATGCCATTTCCCCAACACCCCTGGGTACCCAGGCTCTTGGGGTTCCTCACCACCAGCAACCAAGGAGCCCCAGGAAGAGTAAACAAGAACCCCAAAGTGTCCCCCCACTTCCTTGCAGGCTTTTCCCAATCCCGGGAAGAACGGACACTCAGACACCCTGGCTCTCTGTAGCTGCCCCATCCCCTGGGCACTGGGGCAGAAGTTCAGCCTGTGGCACCAGAGGCAGTGTGGGGGTGCCCCCAGCTCTGGTCTTATACTCCCTGGAGGAGGGGCTGCAGAGCTGGGTGAGTTCCGGCTCCTTCCACTCCTGCCAGAGCTGCTGCTACCTGCAACCCTGGTCCTCTTCTTCCTCCACCCCACTCCTGGGCTACACGGAGCTCCATCCCAGCCACTCCCCCACAGGCAGGCATCCCCCCTTTGCAGGCATCTTCTTTAATCTAAAGCAGGTGCCAGGCATTCCAGCTGAGTCCACACTGCCACCCACTAGGCCTCTGCCCAGAAGGCTACTGTCCTGCTTGTTCAGGGAAACAGAGTCTCCAGCCCAGGGCTTCTGCTTAACCCAGGTACCCAGAAGCTGGGGGCCAGGAACTACGCAAACAGAGGCACAGGCGCCCTGCACAGGGTCAATAAGCAAGTTCACGAGGCCCCACATTGCCACTGTTGCACTAGTCCCAGGTTTCTGTGGACCACCAAACCTTCCCCAGGACTCTGTAATGTCGTCTCACCTTGACCCTCAAGCCCGGTAATTAGAGACTCATCTTGAACCCGCACATGGACCTCCAGGACCCCTCTCCAGCCATGGGGCCCCTGCTGTCCCAAACACAAGAGTTGCCCTGGATGGAAGATGATAGGTACTCGGCTCCCAAACCAGCACCCTTTTCAAACATCAACCCTTCCCCCAGGCCCCACCCCTAAACAGGAGCAGCACAGGTAAGCAGGGAGCCTCTAGAGAGAGGTGGCTAGACCCTGGCCTTCCAGGCCTGATTCTCCAAGGCCAAGGAGCCTGATCACCTTGGGGAGGCAACACCTTCCTTTTCTACCAGACTTCCCTTACCCCTCACCTTCCTGACCCATTCTCACTGCATCCTGAGGCTTCAAACCAGTCGCCTCACAGATGACACCAGAAAGACGGGGCCTGATCATGCCTTCCCCTGGGGCCATGAAATCGTGGTCCTGACCCAGAGAAGGCAAGACCCGTGCTGGGAGAAGCAGAAAAGCCAGGCCCAGCAGAAGTGTCTGCTCTCTGGAGAGGCTGAGGGGTGGGGAGAACAAGAGGAGTGGAAGGCCACCCACCCTGGAGGTCACGCTCAGAGAGCTGCCGAGAGACATCAGTAGGGTTCCAGCAGACACAGTGTAAAGACAGCTTTCCTAGGTAAAACTGGAAACCAAGGCCAAAGATCAAGTGGGCCTCAAGCCCCTATCCCATGGCTCAGTCACATGCCCAGCTCACCTCTCCCAAAGCAACACTCTTCCTCCCTGCAGCAGAGCCCCCCTCCACCACTCCCCAGATACAGACACACACCCCAAGCAGCAGACAGACTGAAGGAGGCGGGAGGAGGGGGTGTCAGAAAAACCCGGAAGGAAGGAGGCTGGACAGACAGACAGAAGCAGATCCTGGCTTCACTGCTCCAGAGAGACACCCTCCAGACTCCCAGACTGTGAGGGACACGCTCCTTCTCAGCAACCCAGAGGGAGAAGGGGAGAGTAGACTTCAGTGTCTCCAGAAACCAAATTCCAGCAGCCCAGGGATAGGGCATACTCCAGACAAGCAAGAAGCCTTAAGTCTCACTTCTCTTCTTCATATTCCTCCCCCAGGAGCTCCCAGGACCAAAGCAGGGGGAGCCTCCCCTTAGCAGTGCAGGGACACCTCCAAGGAACTGTGTGACTGCCCCACCCCCCAGCCAAGCCCACACTGCTGAGAATCCTTGGCAGGGGAGACTCCAGGACTCACAGCCCCTATTGCTCCTAGGCACTGCTTGGGGGCAGAGGGTAACCCCAGCAATCCCCAATCCTAATGCACTTCCTTCTGGAGGCTCCCATCAGCTAGGGGAGGAGTGCTGGGGTGCTGAGACCCAAGGGGTTGGGGAGCCTGGGAGGGGGACTACATCTCCCAGAAGCCCCCAGGGCAGGGTTGCTGCTCCAGCTGGCCCAAGGCCGGCCTTGTTCTCTGCGCTAGGGTGGCAGGGTCCCCTGGCTGTCCCTAAGCCCTCCCCCCTGAGCTCTGGGGCTGCCAACCTGACTGGGGGCCCAAGAGTAGTCACCACTAACCCTGGGAGAGTCCCCCAACCCTTAAACAGCCTGGGGGTGCGTGCCAGAGGGCAACAGACAATCGGACTGTGTTCCCCCTCCCCAGTTCAAACTGGATCTCCCTCCTCGCGCCTCTGCCCGCCTGGCATGACTTTCACCCTCGGCCCCAGCCCACCCCTCACCTCGCGCGGGTCGGGGGTCCTCACGCCAGGCCGGAGCTGGACGCCATGACCAGATCAGGGTCGGTGACTGGATTGGGGTCCTCCGGCTTGCCAGTTGGAGGTGCGGAGGGGGGCGGGCAGGCGGTGATCTTTTGATCCTGGACGCCTTGATCTCAATACCAGCCCGGCCCGGGAGAGGGTATCCGGGGGTCGCTGGGCGCCTGGGTTCCTGCCTCCCAACCGCGGAGCATGGTCGTGGGCGCCGGACAGCGGCGGGAGAGCGAGCACACCCGCCCGGCCCGGGGCTCGGGGCTGGGGTCTCGGCCCCGAACCTCACGGCTCCGGCTCCTGCTCCTCCTCCCTTCCTTCCTTCCTTACTTCCTTCCTTCCTTCCTTCCTCCCTTCCTTCGCCTCCTCCTTTCACTTTCCCCGAGGCCCGCGGGGACGGCGGGCGCGGGGCGGGGAGGGGGCTGTCTGGGCGCTTATTGTTGGTCGGACGCCGAGGGTCCGGGTCGCAGCCCCCGGGCGGCGCGGCGCCGGGGGACCCAGGCGTGCGGGCGTCCGGCCGGCTGGCTCCGGGCGGCGGCAGTGGTGCAGCGGCCCCGGGTCCGGGGCATGTCCGGCCACTGGCTCCGCCGCGCGCCGCCGCCTCCCCGGGTTCCCCTGCGCTGCCGGAGCCTCGCTCGCCCCTCCACTCGGCTCCTCTCCCCAGCCTGAATAAGCATCGGGGCTCTCTGGCTGCCTCCTTCTGCCTTCATACCAGAGCCCGGAGAGGCCCCTGTCAAAATAAGAGCTCCCCCATCTCTCTCGCCTCCTCGCCCAACCCGGCTCCCCCAGCCTCCCAGTGGTCTGACTCGGTAAGGCGCCCGGCCGGGATGCGGGAGGCAGGTTGGCCCGGGGGCGGGGAGGGGGCTTCTACCCGTCTCTCCTCCCCATTCCTGAGGACTGGGGAAGAGACGCGCCAACAACATCCCAGGCTGGAGAGAGGTTTCACAAACCTACCCTCCAGTCTACACTGATTGGAAGGGGTGGGAGTTGCCTGGACTCCCCTCAACCCCCAACACACACACACACACACACACACACACACACACACACACACACACACTGCTGGATCCCTTTTCACTGTACCCACCCACATTCATTATAAACCGAGCATCTCTTTATTTATTCGTCTTTCCTAGTAGACCATGAGGTCCTTGAGGGCATAGACTGAATTTTTTCATCTCAATCCTTAGCACAAAGTGGATGCTAAGAAAATGTGGAAGTAAAATCTTTGTCTTCTCCAAAGAACTCCTAACCTCAAAGGAGTTACACACACACACACACACACACACACACACACACACACACCCAAGACACTATAAGAGGGTAGATGCAATGAAAAAGAAATTGTAAAGCACTTTTAAAAAGCGTTTCACAAATGTTATGTCAGTGTTTACCACTGACCTTTGAGAAAGAGGTTATGGCCCCATTACACTGATGGGGAAACTGAGCCTTACAGTAGTTAAGGACCTCCTCAGGGTTATACAGCTAGAAAGTGGTAAGCCCAGGAGAAGAATTTGGGACTCCTTATTCCAGGATGCTTTCCCTATATCCTACTGCTCCCACCCAAAATTAATACCAACCATTAACAAGACTGCTTCAGAAATGAAGAAAACAAACAAGCCTGTTTGCTCCTGGTATTCAGTTTCACTGCCTTTTCCCAGGCCCCAGAGAGCCCTAACCCTTATAGACCACCCTCCCTTCTGACTACCTATTACATCTATGCCACCCAAAAGAGATGGGTGTTTTGTTCCATATATATATATATTTGATTGCTCCAAAAGATCCTGTAGGGTCCAAACTCTGCTTCCTATGCCTTTGTATTCCCCACAGCACTCAAGCACTCTGTTTCATAGTAGTGCTTCCATTCACTTGCTGGGGGAGCAGAGGACTCACTTGATGGGTTGATAGTGCCAGCAGCTGGGCACTGGGCAAAGTCTGAGGAGGCACAGGTGGAGATGGGGGACAAACACAAAAAAAGATCACAGTACTCCCCCCCCCCGTGTATCTAACATCAGTTTACAAAGCATCTTCATACACATTATCTCTAGATCATGTTTTGATCTGTTCAACAAAACTTCCTCAAATGCCTCCTAACTGCTGAACCAAACACCAAGATGGGTTAGGGGTTGAATCATTACAATCTCATGAGGTAGGTATTCCCACGGAAAACTGAAGCCCAGAAAAGCTGAGCTCTGGTGTGAAAGATCCTAAAGACTAGGATAGTTCCCGACCCATGGAAGAAGGGTTTAATTCCTTCTCCTCTTTCCAGGGTCCAGTGGATATAATATAACCCGCAAGGGAAAGGGGCTATTTCTCAAACAGAACGCTTGTTAGGAGGAAGGGTCCACCCCATTTATGTGGATCAGTTTCCCATTACATACATGACAAACCACATGGGCATGTTATGATCTATTTGGCACGATGCCCGGTTCACAGGAGGTCCAGAAAACAGTGTTTGCAGGAGTGAGTGATGGCTGTGTTTCAAAAGGTCTGTAAAATGCGGTACACAGTAAGTTCAAGAGCATGCGGCATGTCCAGTGGAGCAGCCGTGTGGCTCGCTCCCCTGGGTGGGGCTGTGACTCATTCCCCCAGCGTAGGGTCCAGGTTGGGATGCGGAGCTGAGCTCCGAGCAGCCACGAGTTCTGGGTGGAACCCTGGTGTGAGCGAGGAGCGGAGAAGAGGGGCTGGCGGCCCACTGCTGGAATCGAGCGGCTCCCTCTACTGGCCAACTCGAGGAATCACCGGGTGTTTCCATGCATCTGTGTGTCACTGTGTCACGAGGAGTGTCACAGGTGTGCCAGCGACTGACGGTGGAAATGCCGGCATGCGTATAGGTGTGTGAGGGTGCCTGTTCGTGGCTCAGTGTGGGTGTGCCGGTGCCAAGCAGGCCTGGCTCTGGAATCGGAGTGTACACACACAACCGCATCATGTAACACAATTAACTTTGGGACTGGAGGCTGGGGTAGGGGTAGGGGGCGCGGCGCTAGGGCTGCCGATTATCTGAGATTACTTCGTGAGGCGATTAGGACGCAAGGATCCTCCAGCTGGGACTCCTCACCTAACCTCTCGCAGGTGGGAGGGATTCAGGACTGAAGGAACAGTTCCTGGGAAGGGACTCTAATCCCCTAAAGCAACTAAGGAACCAAGAAAGGGTTAACGTTGAGCCCTACAGTGACTTCAATCATTGGCTCAGAGCCTGTCAGTCAGAGTTCTGGGGCGGGGTTTTCGGGGCCGCCTTCAGACTGCCCAGGGCCCCTCACTTGCCCCTCGACCCCCACATCGTTTCACTTCTGGGCTGCGCCCACACCCCCATCTTGGTGGAGACACCTTCCTGGGCCTGGAGGAGGAGCGGATCCGGGCATCCTGGCTTCCCCACTCATTCCAGCTGCCTGGCTTCCTGATAGATGGTGATTATTATGTAATAGACCTGCTGGACAGAACCGTGCAAACGCTCGGAACACTCTGCCCCCTCCTCGAAGCGTGCCCCAAGGCCTGGCACCAGCAGCCCAGATTCCGCTGTCCAGCTCTGCCGGCGCCCCCAGCACCACCTCCGTTCCGGGGCGGGAGACCCCTGGGCCACTTTCCCCGGTGGACCTGGGGCCACGTCTCGGGATGGGGCGGGCGCCAGCTGGCAGTCGGCGGGCGCCCAGCAGGTCTCAGTGTCGGCCTGCGGAGTTTGGCTCTACCAGCGCCTCGCCAGGAATATGGGACCCACCTGGCCCCTCAACCTGAACTTGGAACTTGGGAGCCAATAGAGGTGGGGATAGGGGGCGCAGGGGCCAGGATCGGAAAGGGAAATAAGTTTGGGAAAGGTGCGGGGGCAGGAAAAAGGAGGCTAGGAGAGGGGGCCGGCAGGGGCAGTGGGGGAGGGACTCTTATCCTGACAGGGCTCCCGCCTTCCCCGACTGGAGGGTTTGGAAAAACTGAGCAGGCAGCCAAGGCTTGGCTGGAAATCCAGCAGCCCACCCTCCTGGGGACACAAAGCTGGAGGGCGGAGGCTGGGCGGGGGAAGAGAGCGCGACCCCGGGGAGGGCAGGGCCTCTTTTGGGGCTGGGGGCCCAGGGGCCAGGTCCCTGGGGAAGGGGTTCCTGGCGCTGTCTCCCTGCAGTCTGCTTCCCCCTTCTTCTCTCTCCCCCCTCCTCTCCCCCTCCTCCCCCTCCCAGGCTCCAGTCTTGCAGATTGCGGGCAGACTTAACTCCTTGTGTGCCAGCCTGGTGGACTCCGAGGTGGTGACGCTGGGAGGGAGGGAAGGAGGGAGGGACTCCGGACCCCACTCCCACCACTGTTTAACACCTTGTGGCCCGGAATGCAGTCTCGGGATTTGGGCTGATCAGAGCCCTGGAAGGCTGGCTGACCGATACTCGGGGGGATACGCACAAAACCGGGCACCTGAGAGCTGCGTGATCTGGCCCATTCTGCCGCCAAATCTTAATTGTCCTTACTCCCCCAACCCCAGTCCTCTGTGTCTCTCCCTCCAGTCTCTGACCACCCTCCCCGCCAACCCTAGTCATTACCAAGGTCCCTGGCAGACGGAAGGCGGCGAAGAACCCGGAAGTCTGGCTCCTGCGGCTGCCCCAGCATTCTCTGTATCCCCTGTGAGGCCCAGCGCAGGTGACCACAACCCTTGCCTCTTTTGCCTTCGCCTTTCTGCGGAGATAGCTCCCCAACGGAGGCAGGGAATGCTAGCCTCCGCCAACTCCGGCTAGGACGAGCGCCTGAGTAACTGGAAACGCTGATATCGCCTTCACCCCAGCCCCTTTCTCGGGCAGCACCCCCTCCACCATCAGATTTGCCTTCCAGTACTCTGAATGACTCCGCCTGAGGGAAGTAACCCAGGCTGGGCAGGAAGGGGTTAACGGGGCTACCCGACTCCGTGTGAGAGCCAGGTGAGGCACCGCCCATCCTGGCCTTCAGGTGTAGGGGGGTAGGTTGGGGGAGTGGAGGGACACTGACCTAGGGCTGCCTGTTTTGGGCCCCCTGGTGGCTAGAACTGGTTTAGCAGTTAACGGCTCCAGCTATGTTGAGGTGGGAATGGGTGGAGGACTTGGGAGACAGCTGGAGTACTCCTCCCGAAGGAATAGCACTTCCGGAGGTAAAGAGACTCCTCTGGGAAGACTGGTGGAAGGAGGGAGCTCCCACAACGCCTGCTCTGCCACCCCCACTCAGCAGGCTGTCTCAGCTACTTCTAGATCTTTGCCTGAGGGGACTCTTACTTGTGGGTCCCAGGTGCCCAGGGACCTGGAAGTGGGGGGGGGGGGTAACAGAAGACATGACCCTGTCCTCCCAGGGTCTCAACCTAACAGAGGGGGTCAGTCGAAGGAAGCTGCTCCTCACCCGTTTCTTTCTGTGCCCCCAGCCTTCCCAGAACGCCTATTCTCTCCAGACCCCAGCATCAAATTCAAACCTACATTCAAAGCTTCCACCAGCTAGCCTGCTGCACTCCAGCTTTCCTCCAGCCGAGCTGCCCTCTGGGTTTCTCCTCATAAAAGGACCCCTCTTGAGGGATTT